GTACTTGTACAATTTCCCAATACAACCCTCTTCGTCAACTTTTTTCGATTTTGACTCTGACGCCATTTGGTCAAGAGTCAAAATATTGACGTAAATATTGAATTTTTTCGATTTTGACTCTCGAGATTAGAAAAGAGAAAGTTTTTACACATTCATATATTTTTTTCTTTGCACTGGGTGGAATCGATCAATTTTTGGGTCTTGATTTTTACTAAGTTAGGGGTTCAATTTGGGGATATCTTGGAAGGGGAAGTGGTGGGAGAAGAAGAAATGACAATATTGACGGAGGAGAAACGACGCGTTATAGGCAGTGGCAATTTTGTAATTTACAGAGTTGACCAAATGGCGTTAGAGTCAAAATTGACAAAAATTGAAGGAAAGGGCTGTATTGGGAAATTGTGCAAGTACAAGGGGGTAAATCGATAAAATTGAGAGTACGAGGGGGTAAAGTGACTCTCAGGCAAAGTACGATGGGGTAAAGTGGAATTTACCCTTAATATTATTTAATAACTTAGTTTTTGCGGGTAACGGTTACATTTGCTTAAAGGAGATCATCACATAGGTATTCTTTTCCTACATAGAACACTCATTTGATTAGAACATATTTATTGACACAAGTTAATTTGAACTCTTTCTTTGTTAGAACAAAACCATTAATTAAGTTCTTCTAATATCCGGAACACGTTATACATCATTCAAGGTAACGTCTTTCTTAAAAGTGAAGTTTACGATCACGTCGGTACTATTTGTGGGTGGGGGACGGGGGTAAAATTTTTTTAGGTATTTTTGTAATTATATTTTTTTTTAATATTAGTTTTGGCCTAATTACATTTTTTTTAATTATTTTAACCGTCATTTTTTGTTTCTTCTCCATAATGTTGAAATAATTATCGATGTATATATCATATTTAATATAGAAATATAAAATAAAATGGAAAAAAATTGTACTATTTAAGTAAAATTTATGAATATTTACTTCTTCTTTTTTTATATTTTTTTAATCAATATGTTTAAAATATAATCTAGGACAATGCATCGAATCCCCAAAATATTAAGTGCAATACGTTATTAGAATCATTTGGATTAATTAGTATATATTTTTTTTTCATATGAAATATGATAAGATTATAATATATATTACTTTAATTAAAAAAAATGAACAATACAAACTTATTTTAGCAATGTATTGTGAACCTAATTATTTTTAGGCGCTGCCTCGAAATCCAAAATTTAGTTTGCCCTTCCTTACGTTTTGATCCTGGTTCCGCCCCTGCTTGACATTGTTCTTCCATGAAGAGCTTTTGTTATTGCTCCAACAACTTCTTGAAAAAGAACATGCTCTTGTCATAACAAATGTGACGAGTATCCCAATGTCTACTTACAACCCTCGAGTATCGTGATAAGCCACGTCGTAGCATGCGAACCATCCGACCTAACCGGCGCTACTTGGACTAGTTAGGATCGTGGCTCATGGGTCTCTATAATAGCTTCCTTATTAATAGCTTCTTTATTATTATAATTCCTAGTTATTATATTTTTATAGTATTTTAGTTAAGTTAGTCTTCTTTAATTATTAGGATTAGAATTATTCCTTGATTAGTTTACGTAGCTTTAGGATTGTCTTTCTTTTCTTTTCTATATATTTCAACCAACGTGATAAACAGAGGCACGTCGAATAAATAAAGTTTTCTCTAGTTTTTCTTGCAATTCTTGCGTAGAAAATCTGTCGGTACCAAAGCGATCGCATCAATTGGTATCAAGAGCGAGCTCTGTTACAACTGCTTAAATGTGCTACGGTCATGGCAACAAATAAGGAAAGATTTGATAGTGATGTTTCAATTTAACTTCTCTGAAACAAAGTCAGACTATACACGATTCATTATGCAAATATTATGCCGTTTTCCAAAAAACAAAATAACAAAAGTTTTGCAATAAATAGATTCGTTTTATGCAACTTTTTTTGCTGAAATATATAAAAAGCATAGACTGATTTTGTCAGGTATTTTTCTCTATTGAAAGTACATAAACAAATTTCGGGCAAAAATTCAAACTAGAATATAAGATGTGCGCAAAGAAAAAAAAAACTCAGAAATTGTATTGTCTTAAGATTATTAGTAAATGTAACAATTTGCATCGACATAAATACTTACTTGTTTGTCGAAAAGAACTGGAATTGCGAAACACAAAATACTATTTGATCCTTGCTAAAAAATTCATTTGAGATAATATTTATGGGCTGCCGAAAGTACACATACTTTATTTGGTAGTTTCTCAAAGTACAACAATCGATTTTCAATATCCAATCCATGGTGAACTTGAAAGTACACATTCGCTATTTGAAAAATCAACTCTTCAAGGAATTTGGATGTCAGAGTGAAACATTGTTCCAAAACAGACATAACTATTCGTCGTGTTTGTTCAGAACTTGCACCGAAAAAAAAAAAAAGGCGAATCTGAAGATATGCAACATTGTTAACTTATATATCCACAATTAGCACCATAATATTTTGATTTGGGCTTTAAATTGGGCCCAACAATTCAATTATTTAATTAAAAACTAAATGGCTAAATTCAATTGTTCTAATTCAAAAGGGTAATATCTTTTGAAAACCCAAGCCCAAGTTTAAACCCAACCCGCCCGTTATTTTTCGAATCTTGACCATCTATGTTTTCTTCCCAATCCGATATATTTACTTTAAAAATAATTTTCACTCAACTTATTGATGATTGAAATAACACAACTCAACTAATATTACCCAATATTAATTAGTGAAATCATAGTATAAACCATAAAAGTTCCGACACCATCCACATTACTTAATTTGTCCTGCAAAAACTGTTTTTCATCATCAGTTTCGAACCAACTGCGTCTCACATATCTTAAACATCTTAACTTCATTTTCCACACATGTTATCTTCTCTTTGTATTCCCATTGTTTCTCTTCATTGTTCAAGTTTTCTTAAAATTAATCTTTCTCACGTTTTTCATCATTGCTTTTTTCGTGTGTATATCACTAATCCTCTTGCACTCTTAGAGTAGCATAATGATCGAGTGTTTATACTAATTGAACGAAGTTTTATGCCATACGCAAATGGGACTGAACATAATCCAACCCATATTCTTGGTTATGAAGGATACGGGACGGGGTTTCGCTGTTGTGTCGTCGGAGCCGCAAGGGAGACCTTATTACAACGGATGATGTGTCAATTTTTATTTTTAATTTTTTTATACAAAATTTATTCTCCCACTTATGTATTTGTAAATTTAGCGAGATAGAAGAGCAAGTGAAAAATGGTGCGAAGTTTATTTTTATTGAATAATATTTATTTATAGAAACTTATAATATGTAATCAATTTTAAAATATTCTCTTTCACCTTACAAACCTATAATCAATAAAATCGTTCAAAATATAATTATTCGTAACATTGTAACATTTTTATATATGTAGTTAACGAATTTTTAATAATTTCTTTTGATAAAAAAATAAATTATTATTGTTTATGTTAAGTTGTTGGAATTATTGTGTTTGATTGAAAGTGTTACAAATTTTGTGAAATAGATGATTTATGGATTATCTGTAATAATACTTCGGTTGTTATAACTTAATTTGATTAACATATTTTTTTAACAAAAAATATAACATATATTACCGAATACTGAATCGAATTTTCGATTCGGTATTTTACACTTACCGATTCTTTTTGTTTTGTTCGATTCGGTCGGTTTGACAACCGAGTGAACGTCCAAAGGCCAAAACACATGCAAAATAAAGTTTAGGTAAGACTTGTGTTTGACCCACGTACATGAGTTGTAATATGCATTTTTTTGTCAATTGATTTCGATAATAAGAGCAACTCCAATGCTAAACATCAAAATTGGATTATCAAATACTCATTTGATAATTAAGATAATATTTTAATATCCATTTACAATTTATTTACTCCAACCGTAGTTATCTAAATCAATAATCAATTGGAAGTTTTTTAGTGTTTTTATTTGTAATTGCCACGTGTCATTTTTTGATTGGATGTTTAGGTAGTTATTTTTTTGATAACTCAATTTCCGGGATGTATTTTTACATTCAAAGAGGTAGAATATCAAAATACTTACCCATTTTTATACTCCCATTGGAGTGGATAATTTTAATTTAGGAATATAAAAAAGGTGGTTTATGGATTTGATAATCCATTTGATACTCCCGTTGGAGTTGCTCTAACTAAGAAAAAATAACTGAGGTATGTCATTATGTACTTCTGATTTCTCATTACAATATATAGAGTGCTGCAGCAATATTATTATCACCTAACAAAGAAATACCAGATATTATATACAAAAAAAAAAAAAAACAAATAATATTAAGATTCATGGTTGATAAAATTTAATTAAATCTTATATACAAAAGAAAGAAACGCTAGTGCAATCTAAAAAATCCTAATGACATATTTATAATTCTTTGTAAATTAATATTATTATCATTATTTCATTTTCTTTTTTCGAGTTTCTTTTACTTTCATATCAAATCAGATTTCCAAATCGGCTAGCAAAATCATAATCCCTCTAATTTTTTATTTTTTTTATAAATCTCTCTTTTTTACACACATTGATGTGAATTTTTTTGTTCATAATCATTTTGCCCTGCTAATTTAACTTTTTATATTGTTTTGGTAATTTAAATTTCACAACTTATTCTTTTAATAATATATAATTTTTTTTAATACAACTTAATTATCATATATTCAATTTCTTTTCTACAATGTTATCCCGTGCATTGCAGGAGGAGTATAGCTAGTTACATTTTATTTGAATTTATATGTTTACATTTCCGTTTAAAATCAAAACTATTTTAATTTGACTATTCATATATTTTTGTTTGTACTTTTTTTTGATAAGATGTTTCTTTATATATTTTAATTTTATTAATAACCTTATTTTATTTCATAATGTGGGCCCGTATTTTCACACTCGTTCCACAATCCAACAATAAAACCCGCCCAAAACCCTAATTTCACAAATTACAAAACCCCTCCGCCCACCCGCCAAGCACCGCCACTCCCACACTTGCATATACACGGCGGAGAAACGGGGAAAACCGTATTTTCTTGCTCTCTGTGATGGCTCTGTACGTACTGTACGAGTCGGCGTCGGGATACGGCTTGTTCTTAGCTCACGGTATTGATGAAATCGGGCAGAACACCGAGGCGGTTCGGACCTCCGTTACCGACCTCAACCGGTTCGGCAAGGTGGTCAAGTTCGTCGCTTTCACCCCCTACGGTTCTGCTCTCGATGCTCTCAACCAATGCAACGCTGTCTCCGAAGGTAAAACGGGTTTAAAAACAAGTTTTGAATTAGGCCTTAAATTGCTGTACTTTTTTTTTGAGAAGAGTTAATTTTGAGTTTCTGTATGTTAATTTGTTTGATAAGGGAATGGATTTTTTTTTAAATGCTGTTTGAGATGAAATTAAGTTTTTTACATGCTTCGATTTTTGTTGCTTGCAACGAATTTACCAGTTGTGGTTTCTGATATTTTGTTACTGTAAATTAACCGTTGGTTATTCGGAAAGTCGACTGACGTTTTTTGCTGGATTTGATGATATGGGATATTAAGGTCAAATGACTGATGAACTGAGGAACTTTCTGGAGAATAGTTTACCCAAGGTGAAAGAAGGAAAGAAGTCGAAGTTCAGTTTGGGATTGGCCGAGCCGAAGCTCGGGTCACATATTTTCGAAGTGACCAAGATTCCGTGCCAAAGCAACGAGTTTGTTCTCGAGATTCTTCGCGGTGTGCGTTTGCATTTTGATAGGTTCATTGAAAACCTAAAGGTGGGGCCGTTTTCCAATCTTTTCGCGTTTTAGTTATATTGCTTCTTGATTTGTGTTATTACAATTTGAAGAAATGAAGTAAATGTTTTACTCATTCTTGCCGTGAAATTTGAACAGCCTGGAGATTTGGAGAAAGCACAACTGGGTCTCGGCCATAGTTACAGCAGGGCTAAGGTGAAATTCAATGTGAACAGAGTCGATAATATGGTTATTCAAGCAATCTTTATCCTCGATACACTCGATAAAGATATCAATTCGTTTTCCATGCGAGTGAGGTTAGTTATTATTAATTCTACTGTTAATATAATCCTCTTATAATGGTTTAATTATTCGTGTGTTGTCTTTTAAACTGTTGGCTTATGTAATTACATTGTGCTTACGTAGTTGTTTTGCGTTTTGTGCAGAGAATGGTACTCGTGGCATTTTCCCGAACTAGTGAAAATCGTCAATGACAACTATCTGTATGCCAAAGTTGCTAAATACGTAGACGATAAATCACAGTTGTCTGAGGATATGTTATCTGGTCTGACAGACATTGTCGGAGACGAAGATAAAGCAAAGGAAATCATAGAGGCTGCCAAAGCATCCATGGGTACGGTGTCTGATGTTCGTTTGTCTTGGTGCATGATTTTATCGTATAATTGACACTCGTTTTTTTTTCTTTTTGTATTTTGCAGGACAAGATTTGTCACCGATAGACTTGATGAATGTGAAGCAATTTGCACAAAGAGTGATGGATCTTGCCGAGTACAGGAAGAAGCTGTACGATTATCTCGTCGCCAAAATGAATGACATTGCACCTAATTTGGCTGCATTGATCGGTGAAGTTGTTGGGGCCCGCTTAATATCTCATGCCGGTAGTTTGACAAACTTGGCAAAGTGTCCTTCGTCCACCCTTCAGATTCTTGGAGCTGAAAAGGCTCTCTTTAGGTACTTCCTACTAAAGCATCGTAAACGATTATTTGCTTTATTGGTTTTATGGAATATTCATCGGAAATGAGTTCTCGTTTATATTATATGTCTTGCACTGAATGTTTTCAGGGCATTGAAAACACGTGGGAATACTCCAAAGTATGGTCTTATATTCCATTCTTCATTCATTGGTCGTGCATCTGCTCGTAATAAAGGGCGGATGGCTCGTTATCTTGCTAACAAGTGCTCGATTGCCTCTCGCATTGATTGTTTCATGGGTAACAATTTATCTTGTCTTTTTTTTCGAACATCTGTTTGGTTTATCTCTTCTTGTGCTCTATAATTTTTTTGTAAGTGGTGAATGATGATGATATATATTTTGTTGCAGACAAAAGTACTACCGTTTTTGGAGATAAACTCCGTGAACAAGTCGAGGAGCGCCTAGATTTTTACGATAAAGGTGTTGCTCCTCGCAAGAACATTGATATGATGAAGTCTGCTATTGAAACAGCTGACGGCAAAGGTTAGGCCCACTTTCGCATATTTAGGAAAAAAAATATATGTTGTCTATTTGTGTTTATCTTTCTGGGCTAACTGCAATCCATTTCTCAGCTGTATGAAATAAAAATAAAACATCAAAGTTCCAAGTTCGACTTTGTGCTTTTTGCTCGTCTGAATGAAAAACTTGATTTTTTTTCAACCCTTTTGGCAGACAATGACGAACCGAAAGCCGCTGTGAATGGAGATGCGAACGAGGAGCCAAAGACGGAAAACAAGAAGAAAAAGAAGGAAAAACGAAAACTTGATGAAGAAAAAGTAGAGGTGAATGGATTGAGTGGGGAAGATGGAACTGCAAAAAAGAAGAAGACGAAGAAGAGTAAAGATGTCGTTATGGAAGATGTTCCATCTGCTATAAGTGAAGGCAAATCAAAGTCGAAGAAGAAGAAGTCACGAACCGAAGACAGCGATTGATAACTTCTAATTTACTTTTTTGTATTATTATGGATTGAGCACAAATAGTTTTGAACATCGTATTTTGATTTAGAGATGTAGCGACGCATGTTTTCTTAATCATCGAAAATTTTGGATTTCTTTTGTTATCGAAGTTATTTATGTTGTTCCATATAATGTCTACTTCATATGGTGCTTTCATTGAAGACTGTCTTTTGTTTTTAAAGTATTTTTTTTTAAGTGTATGTTTTCAAACTACTTATTGGTTTTTTTCTGTTTTGCTTTTGTAAAGAGATTTTTGCTCATGCTTTATCTAGAGCTGTAACTCTTGACACTTTGGGAAGGAATTTCTCTTCCTCCCTCTTTGGCTATTTATGCCTAATGATAATTCTACATTTTCCATATTAAAAAAAGGGTAAATTCCACTTTACCCCTTGTACTTTGGCTGGATATCACTTTACCCCCTTGTACTCTCAATTGCATCGATTTGCCCCCTTGTACTTTTGTTCGATATCACTTTACCCCCTTCTACTCTCAATTCATCGATTTGCCCCTTGTACTTTGGCTAGATATCACATTACCCCTTCTACTCTCAATTGCATCGATTTGCCCCCGTACTTGAAAAATTGTCTCAATGTGGCATTCGCTGTAAGTTTTCAGTCCTTTGACCTTAACACCGTTTGACTTAAGTATGAAAATTACTAAAATATCACCCTTCCAGTTTAAATAATTATTAAAAAAAAAAAAGAAACAACAAAAAAAAAATAATAAAAAAAATCAATACAACGAGAAAACATAGTCCACGACGCCAGCCACAATTCTTTTTTTGTTTATTTTATTTTATTAATAATTATTTAAATTGGGAGGGTGACTTTTTTTGTAATTTTCAAACTTAGATTAAACGGTATTAAGGTCAAAGGTCTGAAAACTAACGGCCAGTGCCACATTGAGATAAATTTTCAAATATAGGGGGGAAAATCGATGCAATTGAGAGTAGAAGGGAGTAAAGTGATATCGAGCTAAAGTACAAGGGGGCAAATGGATGAATTGAGAGTAGAAGGGGGTAAAGTGATATCGAACCAAAGTATAAGGGGGCAAATCGATACAATTGAGAGTACAAGGGGGTAAAACAATATCCAGCCAAAGTACAAGGGGGTAAAGTGGAATTAACCTTAAAAAAAAAGAGTTTCATCTGAGTAAGAGAAATATAATTTAAATTCACGATCTACGTTTCGAGTAGATGAATCTAATGTAGTCAATGAGAAGGTGAAAATGCAATATCCCACATTAGAAAAAGAACATTGATGAGAACACTTAAAAAGTGGAATAGTATTATTGATAAACAATTATGAGCTTTAGTACAAAGCCATACGCGTGCCGTCACAACCAATTTGGCCTGCCCGTGGGTCGTTGGGCTTTGGTTTTGGGTCTATTTTGGACCCAAAATTAATTATGTTTTTTGGTCTTTAATTATTTTATTTCCGAAAAGGGCATGATAATTTCTTTTTTCTGTATAACAGGATTATTAATTACTCGTTGGATTTATTCAGGACATTTTCCACTAAGTGATTTATATGAATCCTTAATTTTCCTTTCATGGAGTTTTTCCCTTACTCATATAGTTACGTATTTCAAAAAGAATCAAAATATTCTAAGCATAATAATCGGCCCAAGTACTATTTTTACCCAGGGCTTTGCTACTTCAGGTCTTTTAACTGAAATACACCAATCTACAATATTAGTACCCGCCCTTCAATCCGAGTGGCTAATAATGCACGTAAGTATGATGATATTGGGCTATGCGGCCCTTTTATGTGGATCATTATTATCAGTATCACTTCTAGTCATTAGAGTTAGAAAAAACAGAAAATTTTTTTCTACGAGTAATCATTTATTAAATTTAAATGAATCATTTTTCTTTGGTGAAATCGAATACATGAATGAACAAAGTAATGTTTTACAAAATATTTCTTTTTTTTCTCCAAGGAATTATTACAGGTCGCAATTGATTCAACAATTGGATTATTGGAGTTATCGGATTATTAGTCTAGGATTTATCTTTTTAACCATAGGAATTCTTTCTGGAGCAGTATGGGCTAATGAAGCATGGGGATCCTATTGGAGTTGGGATCCAAAAGAAACTTGGGCTTTTATTACTTGGATCATATTCGCGATTTATTTACATACTCGAACCAATAAAAAAAGGAACGCTACAAATTCAGCAATTGTGGCGTCTATTGGATTTCTTATAATTTGGATATGCTATTTTGGAGTCAATCTATTAGGAATAGGACTACATAGTTATGGTTCATTTACATTAACATCTAATTAAATTAAAAAAGGGGGTTCTTTCGAATAGGAATCGAAAAGTGTACAGCGCATATCAGATAAAAAAACTGTGTGAACTGGATAGAACCCCCTGAATCAAATATTGTAGTGATTCGCGGGGTTCTATCCAGTTCACATTCTTTTTTTTACTTAAGATAAGAAGAAAAAGCCTTCTTTTTGTCATTGTAATGAACATTTTTCAAAATTATCATTTTTTTTGCAAAAAAACTATCTATAAAAAGAATTAGATAGAATAACTTCAACTTTTTCAACTGATAGTGAAAGAACGAAATCTGGGTACATACCAATAGCTAGTACGGGTAAAAAAATGGAGATCGAAAGAAATAACTCTCGTGGTCCAGAATCAAAAAAATAAGAGTTTCGAACATTAAATATCTTGTATCCATAGAACATCTGACGTAACATAGATAATAAATAAATAGGAGTTAATATCATTCCAATTGCCATTACAAAACTAATTAGGAGTTTTGTTATTAAAAGATATTTTTGACTAGTAATTAGTCCAAAAAAGACTATTAATTCGGCAACAAAACCACTCATACCTGGTAATGCAAGGGAGGCCAACGAAAAGCTACTGAACAGCGTGAATATTTTTGGCATTGGGATAGCTATTCCACCCATTTCGTCAAGATAAACAAGATGTATTCTATCATACGTCGTCCCGGCCAAGAAAAAAAGTGCAGCACCAATAAATCCATGAGAGATTATTTGTAAAAGGGCTCCATGAGCCCCATATCGGTGATAGAACCTATTCCTATAATTATGAAACCCATATGAGATACAGAGGATAGGCTATTCTTTTTTTTAATTACGTTGACCGAGAGATGTTGAAGCTGCATAGATTATTTGCATTGCGCCTACTATCATCAACCAAGGAGAAAATATAGAATGAGCATGGGGGAATAATTCCATATTGATCCGAACTAATCCATACGCTCCCATTTTTAATAAGATTCCAGCTAGAAGCATACAAGTACTATAATGCGCTTCTCCATGGGTATCTGGTAACCATGTATGTAGGGGTATGATTGGCAATTTGACAGCAAAAGCAATCAAAAATCCAATATAAAATATTATTTCCAAGCCCACAGGATAGGACTGATTGGCTAATATTTCAAAATTTAATATTGGTTCAGTAGAACCATATAAACCGATACCCAGAACTCCCATTAACAGAAAAATGGAACCTCCCGCTGTGTACAAAATAAATTTTGTAGCTGAGTACAGACGTTTTTTTCCTCCCCACATAGCTACAAGTAGATAAACGGGAATTAATTCTAACTCCCACATGAGGAAAAAAAGTAAAAGGTCCCTAGAAGAAAATAATCCTATTTGCCCGCTGTACATTGCTAACATCAGGAAATTAAATAATCGAGAATCCCGAGTAACTGGCCAAGCCGCTAAAGTAGCTAAAGTAGTTATGAATCCCGTCAGTAAAATGGGTCCTATAGAGATTCCATCTATTCCTAATCTCCAATGGAAATCAAAAAAATTGATCCATTTATAATCCTCCACTAGTTGTATTAATGGATCATCCGATTGAAAATGATAGCAGAATGCATAAGTCGTCAGAAGAAGTTCTAAGATACAAATACATATAGTATACCAACGGATTACTCTATTGCCTCTATGCGGAAGAAAGAAAATTAGGGAACCTAAAAATATGGGCAAAACTACAATTAGTGTTAAGAAAGGAAAATGGTTCGTGGTAAAGACAAGATACGCTTCTTGGGCCAGAAAAATCCGTGCTCTAAATATTTAGAGCATGGATTTTTTTGTCGGTAAAAAAAATAAAATGGATTCAAGTATAATTTTATGGAAGGTATCAATAAGCTAGACCCATACTGCGAGTTGTTTCATGCCATAAATAAACTCGAACACTCAAAAAATCCGTTGGACAGGCAGATTCACATCTCTTACAACCAACACAGTCCTCTGTCCTTGGAGCAGAAGCTATTTGCTTAGCTTTACATCCGTCCCAGGGTATCATTTCTAATACATCGGTGGGACACGCTCGGACACATTGAGTACATCCTATACATGTATCATAAATCTTTACTGAATGTGACATTGGATCTATACATTTTTGAACGTCAGAAATTTTCGGTCTAGTAAACTAACTTATAAATGAATCCGATATTTAGATACCAGACGAATCAATGAGTGATCAGAATCAATCTATTTCCCAATTGGATTATGGGCGAGGGCCAAAATACTTTGATTTCTTATGTTTTTGTAACCACGATCATATCTTACCCGTATCCAACCTGCGGATTTGAATTAATTTATGAATATTCAAATTTTTATTTATATATTTATATAATAAATGCTATTTATTCAATAAATTGGATTGGTTAATACGAGTTGATTTTCTGTTACGATAAATTGATGAAACAATAGCTGGTCCAATAGCTGCTTCAGCCGCTGCAATAGCTATAACAAAAATTGAAAAAATGTCTCCTCTTAATTGACGATTATCAAAAATATCAGAAAATGTTACAAAATTGATATTCACTGAATTTAATATAAGTTCAAGGCACATAAGGGCTCTAACCATATTTCGACTTGTGATCAATCCATAGATACCAATAGAAAATAAATAGGCACTTAAAACAAGTATATGTTCGAGCATCATTTTGAACTCCTTATCAATCTTGATTCATTTCAATCTGAACAATAATTCACTCGATTCGATTCTAACAAATATGGAACAAAACAAGGGAATAGATTGGTAATAGATAGATAAGAAACTAAAGGCTTTCTATTCTATTTTTTAGACAAAAATTCAAATAAAATAAAAGGATTATAACATTCATTTTCCGTTGATTCTATTTGAATTACTCATTTAAAAAATTTTTTATTGACGAGCTATAGCAATTGCACCTATTAA